CCAACGAAAATCTGGGCTTCACCAAAGGAAATTTCCATTGGTGATGGCGCACATTCTTGTAGTGACAATAAATGTCGGGCTCATTCGCATCCAAGCTAGTAAGTTTCAGCACGCTCTGACCGGAAACTTGATTGAACGAGGTCGCTATATATGAACGTGTGAGATGCTGTGAAACGTGAGACAAAAATGTTCGGACATGGGTGACATATTTAAAGGGGGTTGCGTACTAATAATCAACCGTAAACAACTCAATCAAAACAATATGATCTAAACTCGTGCAAACAAGAATATGAAATAAACTAGAAAATACTAAAGATAGCTTTTATGTGTAAAGAGTTACCTTATTCAAATGTTACAAAAGAGCTAGAATCGAATTTAGTGCTATGAATTAATTAACTTATCTTGCAACCGTAGAATTCGTGTATCAAACTGTACGGATATTAATAAATAAATTTATCTCGATGTTGGCCTATTTAGCTCTCGAATCTGATTTTTAGTAGAGTTTGATAGAAGTTAATAAAATGAGCTGTTGAAAAATTGGAAGTCCCATAAAACATATGATTAATTAATTGTTGACTTTGATTTGGATTAAAATTTACCAAACAGGGATTTAAAATCTAATCGTCACTATGCTATAATATTAAAATCGCACTCCTTTTCTCCTCAAAAATTGCAATTGTCTCTCTTTAAATTTTAACATTACATTCCGCAATTTCACCAATTTTATAAGGTCTCTCAATGTCATATGTTATTTGGAGGTAAAAAGATAGATAATTTAGAATATAATTTTCCGTAAAGGAGTATATAAAGCCTTTTTGAACGCAGAAAACAGTAAAACCTCATAGTTGTGTTTGGTGCACCATATAATGAATTAGTATAAAATTATAATAGATATCATTAGAGGGAGGATGTTATGGTGGAATTGATCAATAATATTCTTTAATTTTTCCCAAGAATGTTATTTCCTATATCTTTTTTATTCGGCCCAAAATCACCTCCTACCTCTCCATTATGTTTATATGGTGCTAATGACTAGATAATTTCATTATAATTTCATTATATATTTTTTAAATAATGTAGTGATCACCTCTACTGCCACATAAACTTGTTTTATTACTATTAATGAAAAATAGTATTAACACTCGTGTTTTTCACACCAGTGGGGTCAGAGACCGTCCGGTTTAGGTCCAACCCAAATCCAAGTTATTATTATTATTATTATTATTATTATTATTATTATTATTATTATTAATTTTTTTGTACAAGCCCACTAAGAAAATTAAACCCATTCCAACTAAATCCATCATTTATTTTTTAAAACCCAATTGCTAGACATTGAATTGAAAGTCCAATCCAATTTTTAAATCTCATTATATCAAATTTTGAATAGTCATTTCTTCAAAGATTGTCCTAAAATTTGAATTGAAATTGCAATTCCCACATACAATCTTTTCTCGTCAACTCTCTGCGAAGGTTTGCCTGCAGATTGGTATTTTTTCTTGATGGTTTAGTAATTTATATTTTTGATATTTTCTCTCGTCCACTCCCTTGAAAGTATATATTTTCTTTCTGGTTTTGTTCATTGGGTGAAGTCGGGAGAATTGAGAATCTGATTATTTTAGTTTTTTAAAGTAGAAATCTATATTAGTCGATCAATTATGAAGATTTTTTTCTCAATTTCTAAGTTTTCAAATGGCTGGGATTTCAATTTGGCAATTTTCACCATGAAAGGGCTGAATTTTGTTTAAATGACGAGTGGTACACTTTAAGCATTATTATTTGTTGTAGGGCAGAATTTTCTTTTCATTGAATAATATAAATGTTATTTTGTGGGTATATAAATACTCTACTTGGCATTATTTGATTTAAAACAATGGAAATTGAATGATTTTGGCTTGGTTTTTACTTTTTATTAATGTAGGTGGAATGACTTTGAGTCACTGTGTTGATTTGCGCACTTATAGAGGAGTTCTATTCTCTAGATTTTTCAAAGCAAGATATTATTACATTAGAATTCGAGTTACCGCATTATGAGTTAACTATAAATGGCGAATGTCGATTTCATGTATCTACATTTATCGAATTATGCAGACAGTTGACTGAGAGAGTGGAAGGTCGAAGAGTTACATATGGTGACTAGACTGAGTCATCTTGTATTAACTTGTTTCTTCCATGAGCACCGAACAAGTATTTTTAGCAATGAACATGTGAAGATAACACTTCGCAACAAAATGAATGATGACTTCCGTGCTGATTGTATATTACTTTTTATAAAAAGAGAACTTGTTGAGAAAATAGATCCAAATTCAATTATAGATGAGTATTATGTTTCAAATTCTCGTTGGGAACGACTTAAATAAACAATGTTCTTTAGTGAATTTTTTAGTGCATGTAAATTTTATTATATTGACTTTGTTAAGTATTTTCAGTCCCCTCAAAAAATCCTGGATCCGTCCTTAGTGGAGTAATAAGGCTCGTTTGACATGACTTTCTTACTAGCTTCTATTTCTTATAGAAGAATTATATAAGAAAGTTACATTATGTCAAAAACTCCTTTAGCCACACAAAATACTTCCGGAAAACCATTCAAACATGTTTAAAAGTAGTTTTTTAATTTTATGAGTAGTTTTTGACTTTTCAAAAATCATGTCAAACGAACTCTTAGTATTAATACTACTTTACTTGATTTAGGTGACACTGAGACATTTTTATTTATAAATTAAGGGAAAATTGTAGCATTGGTTCCTTATCTTTCACTTTTTTTTTTGCAGATTTTATTCTAACTTTCAATTTGTGCTAACGAAAGTCCCTAACATTTTATAAATTAGCAGCTAAAGTCCTATATCCATTTGACCGTTAGTTGACCAAACAAATTGATTTTAACTAAATTTAATAAGGGTAAAATGGTAACTTTAAAATTAATATTTTTCCAATACATATTTAATGTATTAAATTGAACCAAAAAAAAAATGTAAACTTTTTTTTATACCACATTTTATCTAATTCATTCGTACAAAACATATTTTACATTATCCAAATAAATCAAAGTCCAAGTCAATATTAAAACAATGTATTCTACTTAAATAAATTTCGAAATAGTGATATAGATATATAGATATAGTGTATAATAAAACCTACAAAAAAAGCTATCAATAGAGACTTCTAAATCATTAGCCTTTAATCAATAGGAGCGTTGAAAACTTTTCTTAGGCATGTAACTTTTGTAACTTTAATCAATAGAGACTTCTAAATTTAAATTTATTATCACGTGCATGAAGCTTTTGTAGGAGACAATATCACCTAATTTTGATCCCTACAATGTCTTGTTTACATTTTTTTTTCTCACAAATGATGGTATCTGATTTTCTTGGTGTTCTCATTACCCTACCAAGTTCGGAAATTGGGGACAATGTTGTGACTTTTGAGTCTTTGCAGTACACGTACACCCTTATTTCAACTAACCCATAGTCATGAAAGAATTTATTTATTTTTTTCAATGAAAATCTTGCCTGATATTTCATCTCTTTTTTGCATTCACTTTATAGATCGATTTTACTTCTTCGACAGTGTCGAGTTTCA